AATTTAGTACAACTATGGGGTTATTGCCGGCGTAAAGGAGAGCTGCTTTTGGTGTATGACTACATGCCTAATGGAAGCCTGGACAAGTACATCTATGGCCAACAAAAGGTGACCCTGAATTGGAAACAAAGATTTCAAGTAATCAAAGGCGTAGCCTTGGGCCTATTTTATCTACACGAAGAATGGGAAAAAGTTGTTATTCACAGAGACGTCAAGGCTAGTAATGTGTTACTTGATGCTGAACTGAATGGAAGGCTGGGTGATTTTGGGCTTGCAAGATTGTATGACCACGGAGCTGATCCACAAACAACTCATGTGGTTGGTACTGTTGGCTACCTCGCCCCAGAGCACGCTCGAACAGGGAAGGCCACTAGAAATACTGATGTATTTGCTTTTGGTGCCTTTCTGCTCGAAGTTGCCTGTGGCAGAAGGCCAATAGAGCCACATTCGCCGACAGAGGAGACTGTGATTTTGGTTGAATGGGTATTTGGTTTTTGGAGTGAAGGTAAAATTATTGAGGCAAGGGATCCGAAATTGGGAACAGATTATGTCGCGGAGGAGCTAGAGTTAGTGTTGAAACTTGGGTTGATGTGCTCTCATTCAGAGCCCGCAGCTAGGCCAAGCATGCGACAAGTTGTGCAGTACTTGGAGAAGGATGCTCCTTTGCCAGAGTTATCAGCTCTAGAAATTTCAGACTGTGGCCTAAAATTTGCGCATTCGGAAGGTTTTGATGACTTTGTAGGCTCGTCTCCATCTTTAATGGGCAGAACAGCATCGACTTCTATTGCAGATTCAATACTTTCAGGTGGCAGATAAGATTGCAACGTCAAATTATTGGAGATATAATATGAATATAATGATGTTTTGCTGTATTATTCTTTGTAATACATTCTCAGTTTCAGTTGTAGCCGTGCTGGTGTAATATAAATAATAATAATATTGTAGCATGCATGAATTAATGACCGGAAATTGTCATTCAAATGGGTGCATAGCCAAGCAATAATGTAATTAAATGAGGCAGGTTTAACTATTTTGAAGATAAAAAAAATAATTGAATAAATATTCTGGCTACTTGCTAGTTACCATATTGTAAATTTAGTTTCAATAGTGTGGAGGAAGATTTTTGTTATAATGCAGAAGAGTAATACTAGCCTTACAAAGAGACATACAAAGAGTCAAATCTAACTCTTGAAATTCATGATTGCGTCTTTCTATCTCTCTTTTTCATTTCTTTCAAAAATAAGATTTGATTCTTTGTATGACTTTTTGTAAGACTAGTATTACTCTTTTAGAGAGTTACTTTATATAGTGAGAAGTGTTTTGAATAAGAATAGTGAAGTAGGTGAGCTGGTCTAACAACAATAAGGTCCAGTTATTTGTTGGGTATTGGGTTTATTATTTGGTGAGCTGGCCTAATAACAACAAGGCCCAGTTATTTGTTGCGTATTGAATTGTACTATTTGATTATTGTTTGACGGTTTGGCCTATTAAAATATAACCCGGTTTCTTTTGTAAATCCTTTTTAATTCGTTAAGTTTGGGCCTTAGGGAATGTTCCCCTTTCTTGGATTAGACTCCTTTATTCTGAAGGGAGAGTCATGTTTCAGAGTTTTTAGAGGGTTGCAAGAATTTAAAAGTATAGGGGGTTTAGAAGGATCCAAAAGTTTAGGGAGTTGAAAATAATTTAAAGGTATAGGAGGTTGTAAATAATGGAAAATATAAGGGGCAAATGAATATTTACATTATTAGTAATTATGATGTTTCAAGCATGGCACTCATATTTGCATGCCCGTTTTAAATGAGAACAAATGTTATATGATATTATTACTTGTACGTAAATTGCATGAAGGCACTTATGATGCATGGTGTGGTTGGATATTCGAATGCACGTGGATGTTTGTGTATGATTATCATATTGGAGACCACCTTTTATAATACCCTTCCCCCTCTAGATATCAACTAGCATGTTATGTTTATCCTTATGCGCGCATTGAGATTGTCATTGAATGAGATGGACGTCTAACGAGTTCCAGGAGGGATTACACCAGGCGAGTATTGGCCAGTGTGAGATTTTGATGCCCCAAGGATAGATTGTGAGCGGGATTTTATTTAATATCATATCATGACGCCTTGAGGGTAGATTGTGGGTGGTTTAGCTGTTTTTCTGTATCTGATTTTGCCATCTCGAAGGTAAACTGTGGATGGCACCACCCTAAGGGTAGACTATGGGTGGCCCAACTACTTGTATGTTTTTTGGACCGACACGGGAGAGGTATAACGTAGGTACTGGTGTGGTAATGGTGGTCATATTAATTATATGAGTGGGATTATAGCACTCAATGGGTATAGGCTTGGGTGGATTTAAAATATATTAAATCATTCGTTATCTATTATGGATATTGTTGATACGAAAATAGAAAACCGATAGACCTTGATGGAATCGAAACTGATGTGTGCGTGATTTAGGATAAACCAACAATTGAATGTAAATGTGCGCAAGAAAGTAAAGAACACAAAGATTTTTAAAGTGGTTCAACAAGTTAGAACTTGAACCTACGTATGTCCACTATTATCTTATTGCTTTTGAGGGATTACAAGAACAATGTAATATGTCTGAATAAATTTGCTAAACCCTCTCTCATCGTTTGAGGGGTTTTTATGCGAGTTTGTAATTAATTGAGAGAGATAAGTTCGAGATTGCAATCAAAGTTGATTTACAATCCCGTGATCGTGAGTTGAGATTGTGCTGCCAGTGGTGTTGATCTCATCTCTTCCGAAATATCTAAGATTGGAGTTTATCTTTGATTTTGTTGAACAGCTGTTTGGATTGATCGTTGTGGCGAGCTTCACCTAGGTCGAGCTTACTCTGAATCGAACTGATTTTGAGTCGAGCTTGTTCTGGGTAGAACTATCTCTCTTTTAGCATTTAATTGTTTATCTAACAGGAATGTGAATGAAGTATATTGTACACTAATTCTGATTGATTCATTTATTTTTGTTTAAGAATTATCATTGTAAAATTTATTTTTTAGTGGTATACGAGTCACCCACCTGGCTTCATTAATTAGTTGCCTAATAGGAATTGAGCATGATTGGAATTATGGTGATGAATTAGAAGCTGAACAAATTAATTAAGATTTTGATGTACAAGTGATCGCAAGATGATTGGATTTCCGTAAATCAATTGAAATGTGAGATTTTAGGCTCCGTGGTTAACATTCTATGCTAAATAGTATTTTTGGGAAGTAAGATAGGATTCTGAAAAGGGTTTTATACATTTCTGAATATCATTTTCTAAAAATATTTAGATTATTTTTAACCTCTTAGGTTTGTTAATTTAATTAAACACCCACAAAAATAAAAGTTTATAAATTAACAAAAACACCTTCACCTACCCACATATTACTGGCAACTAGCCACCACTAACGAAAGGTGGCTAGAATCTATTGGAATGGTACCTGACCTGTTGGATCTGGTCGGTCGTGCGCCGATCTTGCCTTTTTCAGTCAGATCCACCATGGATCGAGCCGAAAAAGGCTAGATCTACGGTTGTGCATCGTTACGACACTGACGACTGGCGATGGCTGCTGGCAGGTGATAGTAGCTTGGATGGGTGGGGGTATTTTTGTTAATTTTAAAACTTTTATTGAGAAAGGTAATTGTTAATATAATAAGATTGAATTTTGAAGAATATTAAAACAAATGTAGTTTTGGTTTTTTAGGATAGAATAATGGAATATGATAGTGGGAGAAGAGTGTGCCAAACGGACTCTAAGATATCAATAAAATTCTAGACAACATGGATGTTGATGGGGAGCTTCTAAAATTTGCAAAGGCGACTTCTGTTTACAGTTTTTATTTTTTTTTACACAAATTTACCATTATTTAAGTGGAATGTATAACTTATTGGACAATTAAATGGGCTCAAATAGTCACAATTAGATAGCCTGATGATAAAAGAGTAAAAAAAGATTGCATGAGATCATTTCAATCTCTCTAGACGCTAATAGGATGGCCATTGGGGCTTCTACTCAGATGATAATTCTAGAGCATTGGGAGATTAGTTGGGGTGCAAGCTGACTCGAATGCCCCTTGTGATTAAAAAAAAAGGGCTCAAATAATGACACGTATTTCGAAATCTGGTTTCAAATAAATGATGGCCAAAAGTTATTTCACATTAATATAGAGTTTGCAGTGTTGAGAAAATGTATTTATCATTGAAAGCATCCATGAAGCTAATTTAACGATATAATTTTATCTCTATGAATTGATTTGAGTCAAAGAATTAGATGTTACATGCATATCCACTAGTCGTATTACATTTAACTGTGAATAGCACTAGTCATAATTTTTAGTACGAGAGTTCTTATAAGATCATCTGCTATGTTATGAATCATTCTAGAGGATGACTTTAAAATATATACCATTTTCCCCTAATTAATTAAATATTTGAGACCTTAACTTCTCCTTCTATATTCTAACCACGTGAGCGTGCCATTGACAAATATTGATTCTTGCGCTCACAAATTACTTTATATTATCTTATATTTTCTTGCGTTGGTAGAACAAATAGAAATTGATAGCTTAACCACTAATGGAAAAGGATACCGTATACATAAATTATATTATTTGAGTGACCTTCTTCAAGCAGCATATATTCCATTTTCTGTTGTTTTGGATTTTGCCTTTGACATTGAGGACACCCGCGGATTCAAAACAATAAGAAAGACAAAAACGACGGAGGCGCTGAGAGTGGTAGTAAGTATTAAATTCACGTGTCAATTAATTGACAACGTCAATACCAAAAAGGCCCACAACGGTCTCTGTATGGCAACTGAGAGGGGAAACCATATCTGATATGGTCATCGCTTTAGTGCCTTCTTCTCTACGACTCTCCACCAAAAGTCTCTGTTTTCTACAGTTCGATACGAATGAAAGTTTACCCGAATGTATAATAAATAACTAAGCAGTAATCCGACGGCATTCATGTGTATGGTTGATGGTTAAGAGGCGCATGAACTTTTCATTCTTATATTATATGTGTAAGAAGAGCATGGTTTAAGAAATTGCTTTGCTTTGCCTAGCCATGTTTTTCAAATTTGCAATAGTGGTGTCTTCCTTAATCGGGTTAGTAGCAGCAGATGAAAATCTTGGTTTCATCTACAATGGTTTCAGATCGGCTAATTTGAGCCTCCATGGTACAGCTAAGTTCACCGACGAAGGACTTTTACAGCTTACCAACGAAACCCAAAGAATAAAGGGTCAAGCCTTCTACCCTAATCCAATATCCTTCAAGACCTCAACAAATGCCACGGCTTTCTCTTTTTCTACAATTTTTGTTTTAGGTATCCAGTCTCAAGTTGATGTTCTTAGTGGCCAGGGTATGGCTTTCGTGATTGCACCAACACTAGGGCTCCCTTTCGCTCTTAACAGTCAATACCTCGGCCTTTTTAACGATAGCAATAATGGAAATGCCAGTAATCATGTTTTTGCCATAGAATTCGATACGGTGCAGAATGCCGAGTTTGCTGATATTGATAATAACCATGTAGGGATTGATGTTAATAGTTTGAAATCTGAGATATCAGCTCCAGCTGGTTATTATGATAATCAAACCGGTGAATTTAAGAACTTGACGCTCATTGATCGTCAAAGAATTCAAGTTTGGGTGGAATATGATGGTGAGGAGAAGCAAATTAACGTTACTTTAGCTCCATTTAACAGTGGTAAGCCCAGTAATCCACTTCTGTCTTTGTCGAGGGATCTTTCATTAATTTTTAACGAAAACATGTTCGTTGGCTTCTCATCGTCCACCGGTTCGTTGTTTTCATCTCATTATGTTTTGGGTTGGAGTTTCAAAATGAATGGACAAGCAGAGGAACTTGCACTCTCTCAGATTCCTAAGCTTCCCCGAATTGGTCCCAAACCGAAATCAAAGTTTCTGACAATTGGGCTCCCTGTAATTTTTGTAAGCTTGACTTTAGCTGCAGTGTCAGGTGTGGTTTATGTGATAAGAAGGAAAAGAAAGTTCGCTGAAGTGCTTGAAGATTGGGAGCTTGAATATGGGCCTCATAGATTCAAATACAAAGATCTTTATTTCGCCACCAAAGGATTTAGAGAAACAGAGCTATTAGGTAGTGGTGGATTTGGCAGGGTGTACAGAGGTGTACTACCCAACTCTAAACTAGAAATTGCAGTGAAGAGAGTCTCTCATGAATCAAGACAAGGAATGAGAGAATTTGTTGCTGAAATTGTTAGTATTGGTCATCTCCGCCACCGGAATTTAGTACAACTCTTGGGTTATTGCCGGCGTAAAAGAGAGCTGCTTTTGGTGTATGACTACATGCCTAATGGAAGCCTGGACAAGTACATCTATGGCCAACAAAAGGTGACCCTGAATTGGAAACAAAGATTTCAAGTAATCAAAGGCGTAGCCTTGGGCCTATTTTATCTACACGAAGAATGGGAAAAAGTTGTTATTCACAGAGACGTCAAGGCTAGTAATGTGTTACTTGATGCTGAACTGAATGGAAGGCTGGGTGATTTTGGGCTTGCAAGATTGTATGACCACGGAGCTGATCCACAAACAACTCATGTGGTTGGTACTGTTGGCTACCTCGCCCCAGAGCACGCTCGAACAGGGAAGGCCACTAGAAGTACTGATGTATTTGCTTTTGGTGCCTTTCTGCTCGAAGTTGCCTGTGGCAGAAGGCCAATAGAGCCACATTCGCCGACAGAGGAGACAGTGATTTTGGTTGAATGGGTATTTGGTTTTTGGAGCGAAGGTAAAATTATTGAGGCAAGGGATCCGAAATTGGGAACAGATTATGTCGCGGAGGAGCTAGAGTTAGTGTTGAAACTTGGGTTGATGTGCTCTCATTCAGAGCCCGCAGCTAGGCCAAGCATGCGACAAGTTGTGCAGTACTTGGAGAAGGATGCTCCTTCGCCAGAGTTATCGGCTCTAGAAATTTCAGACAGTGGCTTAAGATTTGCGCATTCGGAAGGTTTTGCTGACTTTGTAGGCTCGTTTCCATCTTTAATGGGCATAACAGCAGCGACTTCTATTGCAGATTCAATACTTTCAGGTGGCAGATAAGGTTGCAACGTTAAATTATTGGAGATATAATGATGTTTTGCTGTATTATTCTTTGTAATATATTCTCAGTTGTAGCTGTGCTCGTGTAATATAAATAATAATAATGTTGTACCATGCATGAATTAATAATCGGAAATTGTCATTCAAATGGGTACATAGCCAAGCAATAATGTATTTAAATGAGGCAGATTTAACTATTTTGAAGATAAAAAATAATTAAATAATAATTCTGGCTACTTGCTAGTTACCCTTAATTGGATACACTCTGAACATATTGTAAATTTAGTTTCAAGAGTATTATCATATTTGGTAATTAAGAACTATGTTACAATATGGGTTTAATAGCATTATTCGATTAAATATGATGGATCGCAAATTGGAAAATAAAAAGGGTCACAAAAGAAAATTTTATATGAATCACCTTTGGATGGCCGGGTGGGATTATAAAGACTCTTGAGTATATTATTCAAGATGTATTGAGTCTGATTCTCCTCAGTTGCTAATGGGGGTGACCACTGAAGGATATACTCGATCGTTAACTTCAAGGTCTGGGGGTGACCATTAGAGGAATACTCGATCGTTAACTTCAGGGTTTGGGGGTGACCATTGGAAGGTATATCTGTCATTAACTTCAGGGCCTAAGGATGGCCATTGGAGGTTATACCTGGTAGTTAACTTTAGAGTCTAGGGGTAGCCACTAGAGGGTATTCCCGGTAAAAAAAAATTATATGAAACGTTCTTTATACCTTATTTTATTGTAGAGAAATGCTAGCCTTACAAAGAGAAATACAAAGAGGGGCATACAAAGACAAATCATGCCTTTAATCTTCATGATTGCCTCTCTCTCTCTCTTTCCTTTCTTTTAAGATCAGAATTTATCTTTGTATGCCCCTCTTTGTATTTCTCTTTATAAGGCTTCTCTTTACTGTATTGCATGCCCTGGGACAAATTCATCAACTTTATAATATGGTGTCGTTTTATATTTCAAAAAATCTCATTATGGACCTGCCTTGGGCTTTACCAGCCCACCGGGGCTGTTTCCTAAACGGGTTGGTCTAACGCATTTTGTACGATCGGGTAAACCGGTTTATCTGTCGGATCTTTTCACCTCCAAAATCTGAACCTCTCCCCGCAATTTCAATACCTGAGACAGACTTTTGATCAATCAATCGAGAAATGCCGGTGAGAGTCGTAGACAACTCTGCACCGTCTCAAGTATCAGGTATTCTGTTTCAATGAAATTACGATCTTAGTCATTGCGTGTGTTAGGTTATCAAATGCTTGATTGCTTTCTAATTATCTGAGTTAATTAGAGTGGTCTCGATTAGGAAATTTATTAACATATTTTGTACTTATGAGTTTCTCTTTGTGTGATTTCATTGTATTTTGTGTACTGAAGGTGCAAATTCTGGAAATACTTCACCCCCAGCCTGCTCACTTTTGAGTGTTGGACAGGTGAATTGTTCTGTCGTTTTATTTTTTATTTTTTTTTCATATCATTAAGCTTTTTTATTGTTTAAAAGGCATGTGGTTCAAGTTTATTTTTTGTTGCACACCAATTCCGATTGATTGATTTATTTCTCTTTAAAAATTACCATCATAAAATTTACTTGCTAGCCTCATACGACTTGCCCCTGCTTCATTAATTAGTTGCCTAATATGAATTGAGTATGATAGGAATTATGTGGATGATTTATTGGCTGAACAAATTAACTAATATTTTTTATACTTTTTAAGTAATGGCAAGATGATTGGATTTCTGTAAATGAATTCAGATGTGAGATTAAGATGTTGAAGAGGTCGCAAAACCATATAGCTGTTGTGTAATGGAGACTTTCAATTTTTATTTTTTTATTTTTCTCTCCTTGTAGTGAAGCTGCAGAGTTTCTTTTTTATGGTGCTTTTATGTGTAAAGCTTTTGGCGTTTCAATGTTTGTTGCACAACTCTCATTTTTCATGCAACAAGTAGTTTAGATGATTCATTCCTTCTTTCTGTTTTTAAAATATATGTGTGTGTTGTTTTTTGAAGGAAGGGTTGTGCCCTGGCCGGTGAATGTATGTGAAGCCATGAACTCATGTAGATAAAAGTTTTTTCTTGCGCTTTGGAAATAAATGATTCTTATATTTAGGGGTGACATACCTTATTGCTATGGTTGAAAGGATTCAATGTATGGCATTATATTTTATTGCAGGCATTTTCTGGTACACAGAATGTCTCAAATCTTCAAAAGGAGGAAGCTTGGAGAGTTAATGTCCGGATACAAGGATGTGACCTTGAACATGGGTATCTATGTGGCACCATGGAAGCTCTGAATGTTCCTATGGCAGACACACCAGTTAGTGTTATTTTCTTCTCTCAGCAGCAATTAAATTGTGTCTACCCTTTTCATCCTATCTTATCTGGTATTTTTAAGATACAGAGCTTTGATACTGACAAATAATTATAAAAGTATCTTCAGTTAAACACTGCCACCCTGGTTTAATGGATTTTTATTAGATATCCATTCTTATTCTTCTTATTCATAGGTTTCACCCACCTAAGTTTTCAATTTTTGCTGTCTGCTTCTTGCCTCTTCTTACATTTTGATTTATCAATGTGATACAGAAGGTTTATTTGTTTTGATTTTTCATATAATTTTACTCTTTGGTTCCCATATTAGGAAGTATTAAAAGTTATTGCAGAACTGAGATGCAGAGTTTTTCCCTGTGCATGCATGCACACATACGCTCACACAAAAACACACACTCTCATATATCCCTTTCCCTTAGTATTGACTTTAAAATTTAGTCAAATATGCAGAATCTCCTTGTAAACTCATCAGTCATTTAATTGTTTTTAACGATGTTCAGGTAGTAACTTTCTGGGAAGGAGAGATTGTTGATACGAAAAACTATACTTTCTACACCGGCAAATGGGAAGCAGCGTATGCTCTTTCTTTTTCCTTTTCCCTTTTAAATTGAGCATTAAATAAATCTCAATAGATTGTCTGTTCCCTTTTAATTGGTTAAAGAAACTTTTTATAGGCCAGAGGATGATATAAGGCATTGGACGAAGTTTCAATCTTTTTCACCCCTTCTGGTAATGATTTGTGTATTTTCACCCATTTGGTGAGTTACAACTGCTTCTACATATACATAATTTATGTTCATTTCATCAACTCAATCTCTTCAGAATCAAGTGGAGGTTGATGGTGGCAAATCATTGGACCTGAGTAACTACCACCACATATTTATGGTAATTTTGTTTGAGACTTAATCAATTTAATTTAGTGAACAGTTATTTAACAATATGATAGGACAGTTTATTGAAGATGTGATAGTTTGGCATGCTTTCTATGCTCAAAATTATGCGTGGGTTATGTTTTTGTTATACATTATTTACTAAAATTAATAAATGGCTGACAAGCTAATGTGGCATATGCCATCTCAATTATCGCACCATCTAGTAAAGAATTTTTTGTAAAAGTCTTTTATAGATTTAGCATGAATCTTTGATTAATTGGTAGAAGAAGTTGATATGTTTAAATTAATTTAACTTGCCATTTTTTAATTTTGTCATTGTAGAGATGGAAAGAGCAATATTTTGTGAATGTTGGAACCGACTGTGGGCTAACCATAGCAGGCTTCTACTATGTTTGCTTCTCTTGTAGTGATGGCTCCATCAATGGCTTCTATTATGATCCCAATAGCAGGTACTTCTTTGCTGCCATCTCTGATTCTAAGTTTTGGTTGAGTAATTGTCTTTTCTTGGAAATAGTATGCCAATGATGAATGCTTCTCTTTTGTTTTCTGGAAAGCTGGGATATGTCCATAGACTGATTACGAATCAGGCTATCCTTGTATTTTACACTGTCATCCTTCTAACCCCTTCGCCCCTCTCGCACTTTGACTTTCTTTCTCATGTATCAAAGTGACTGACGAAATGCTGTTAAATTGAGTTGCAGCCCTTTTCAGAAGCTTGAGCTGAAATGTACCAACGAGGGAAGATCAGGTTTTAGTTTTTCATCGTATGAGTTACAATGAAAAAGAAAAATTGGCAAGTGATTCTGATAGCAGCACTGATTCAACAATAGTTGTCAAATCGCGTATAATATTGAGAATTGTAGAATACTAATAACCATGGATTCAACTACTGAAATTATTTGACTTCCTCGATTTGCATAAAAAATTCTGAGGGAGGACTTGCAAGAGCGCAGGCACTCGAACGAACATGCATTTTGATGACTCTTGGAAAATTGATAAAATGTGCATGTATTTGGTTATGAGAGTGTTAATTATGTATTAGTGCCTATACCTTATGATATCCCTTTTTCAATTTTGTTACAGTTTTAAAAAGAATTATCAGTTAGGAATTGCAGGCCAAAGCAGTTAGCAACATGATGACGAATCTCTGCTAGCAGTTTGTTATACAGTTTCTTGAAAACCGAAGTCGGTTATTTCCTTCTCATCATCTGTCGTCAGTTAATTATGCAAAGAGAAATTTGAGAAAAAGTTTCTTATGCCTTTAAATCATATTGAATTTACACAGTTGTAACACAAGTAACTACTCTCAAGAACATAAATTAGGTCAATATTATACTTACAATTTAATGTTATAATCTTTCTCTTATAACTTTGACATGATAGTTTGTAATGGGTTTAACTTGTCCAATTATGATAGTTTATAATGAGTTTTGTCTGCCTGATTAGGAATTGTCATGTTGGAATTGTAAGAAAAAATTTATAAAATTAAATTGTTTTTATTGTTAGTTAAATAACTATGGAGACCGGTATTTAAGTAAGCCATAGAGATTTTCATTTTCTAAGGAAAAAAAAAAAAAATAATAACGTGGGCAACCAAGATGAATCGGTGGTGAAAGCAGTAGTGGGGAGAGTGATTGATTGATTAGAGAACGTAGTGAGGGAGTTTCTCGTGCACAGTAAAAGCATATTTTTTTATGAATTAAATGAGAGTCATTGATTAGTTGAAATAGCAGTTACGCCGCACTCACTATCATAACCCGGAACGTGGGGTCATCCACAACTGGCGAACTCCCCCTTACGTGAACCCAGTCCCAATCCCCGCCACCATCTTCCAAAACATCCTCTATTCAAACACGTAACTCAGTGACTATTGAAAGAGAAGCAGCTGCACATTTATGTAATGCGTGCGCTCACGCAATTGGTTACTGTGGTCAAATTATAATATGCATGCAGCATTTACCCCTTTTCATGAGGGTCGTCTCCTTCTTTTTAAATCTCCTTCTCCAACCCAACCACCCCACCATCTCTTATTAATCCTTGTAACTTTCTCTTTTCTCTCTTATTTTCACTATTTTTCATGCTTTCTATTTTTGTCAAGCACCGCCTGTTTGAGGTACATATATTAGTCAAAAAGATTTACGTGTCAGAGCCTTTTTCCCTTGTCCCCGTCTTTAATACTCGATTGTTTGTTCGAGAGAGATATATATATATATATATAGACGTATTGGTAAGGATTTTTTTTAGCAACGGGTACAGAAGTATGGAGATAAGTTTGTTTTGTGATGAGCTGTGGCTTTCGAATCCTGACGAAACTTCCCATGAACCCAAACAACGCATTTTAGAGAGGTGTCCTGGTTATTCATTTTACAACACTAAGGAAGACTGTGAACAGGCTAGTATTATTTGCTTTAAGAAGGAGTTGAGTTACATTCCTGAACCTGGATATTTAGAGTATCTCCAGTCTAATAATTTGATGAACTTTAGGCTCAAAGCTATTCAATGGCTTTTCAAGGTCAGTGTTATTCATTTCATCCCGAAAAAGAATATGATAATAAAGAAGAGGAATAGACTTCATGTGGGTTTATCTCTAACTTCTTGTTTTTTGTTGTCTTCAGTCTCGCAGTCGGCTGAATCTCTGTTACGGAACTGTTTTCAACGCTGCAAATCACCTTGATCGATTCATATCCATGAACCAATGCNATCCTTGTATTTTACACTGTCATCCTTCTAACCCCTTCGCCCCTCTCGCACTTTGACTTTCTTTCTCATGTATCAAAGTGACTGACGAAATGCTGTTAAATTGAGTTGCAGCCCTTTTCAGAAGCTTGAGCTGAAATGTACCAACGAGGGAAGATCAGGTTTTAGTTTTTCATCGTATGAGTTACAATGAAAAAGAAAAATTGGCAAGTGATTCTGATAGCAGCACTGATTCAACAATAGTTGTCAAATCGCGTATAATATTGAGAATTGTAGAATACTAATAACCATGGATTCAACTACTGAAATTATTTGACTTCCTCGATTTGCATAAAAAATTCTGAGGGAGGACTTGCAAGAGCGCAGGCACTCGAACGAACATGCATTTTGATGACTCTTGGAAAATTGATAAAATGTGCATGTATTTGGTTATGAGAGTGTTAATTATGTATTAGTGCCTATACCTTATGATATCCCTTTTTCAATTTTGTTACAGTTTTAAAAAGAATTATCAGTTAGGAATTGCAGGCCAAAGCAGTTAGCAACATGATGACGAATCTCTGCTAGCAGTTTGTTATACAGTTTCTTGAAAACCGAAGTCGGTTATTTCCTTCTCATCATCTGTCGTCAGTTAATTATGCAAAGAGAAATTTGAGAAAAAGTTTCTTATGCCTTTAAATCATATTGAATTTACACAGTTGTAACACAAGTAACTACTCTCAAGAACATAAATTAGGTCAATATTATACTTACAATTTAATGTTATAATCTTTCTCTTATAACTTTGACATGATAGTTTGTAATGGGTTTAACTTGTCCAATTATGATAGTTTATAATGAGTTTTGTCTGCCTGATTAGGAATTGTCATGTTGGAATTGTAAGAAAAAATTTATAAAATTAAATTGTTTTTATTGTTAGTTAAATAACTATGGAGACCGGTATTTAAGTAAGCCATAGAGATTTTCATTTTCTAAGGAAAAAAAAAAAAAATAATAACGTGGGCAACCAAGATGAATCGGTGGTGAAAGCAGTAGTGGGGAGAGTGATTGATTGATTAGAGAACGTAGTGAGGGAGTTTCTCGTGCACAGTAAAAGCATATTTTTTTATGAATTAAATGAGAGTCATTGATTAGTTGAAATAGCAGTTACGCCGCACTCACTATCATAACCCGGAACGTGGGGTCATCCACAACTGGCGAACTCCCCCTTACGTGAACCCAGTCCCAATCCCCGCCACCATCTTCCAAAACATCCTCTATTCAAACACGTAACTCAGTGACTATTGAAAGAGAAGCAGCTGCACATTTATGTAATGCGTGCGCTCACGCAATTGGTTACTGTGGTCAAATTATAATATGCATGCAGCATTTACCCCTTTTCATGAGGGTCGTCTCCTTCTTTTTAAATCTCCTTCTCCAACCCAACCACCCCACCATCTCTTATTAATCCTTGTAACTTTCTCTTTTCTCTCTTATTTTCACTATTTTTCATGCTTTCTATTTTTGTCAAGCACCGCCTGTTTGAGGTACATATATTAGTCAAAAAGATTTACGTGTCAGAGCCTTTTTCCCTTGTCCCCGTCTTTAATACTCGATTGTTTGTTCGAGAGAGATATATATATATATATATAGACGTATTGGTAAGGATTTTTTTTAGCAACGGGTACAGAAGTATGGAGATAAGTTTGTTTTGTGATGAGCTGTGGCTTTCGAATCCTGACGAAACTTCCCATGAACCCAAACAACGCATTTTAGAGAGGTGTCCTGGTTATTCATTTTACAACACTAAGGAAGACTGTGAACAGGCTAGTATTATTTGCTTTAAGAAGGAGTTGAGTTACATTCCTGAACCTGGATATTTAGAGTATCTCCAGTCTAATAATTTGATGAACTTTAGGCTCAAAGCTATTCAATGGCTTTTCAAGGTCAGTGTTATTCATTTCATCCCGAAAAAGAATATGATAATAAAGAAGAGGAATAGACTTCATGTGGGTTTATCTCTAACTTCTTGTTTTTTGTTGTCTTCAGTCTCGCAGTCGGCTGAATCTCTGTTACGGAACTGTTTTCAACGCTGCAAATCACCTTGATCGATTCATATCCATGAACCAATGCCATGTAATTAACTATAGCTTAGAATCCATCTCTTAATTTGCTGGCTTTGTATTTTTATTTTGATACTGAATACTCACATCATCATATATTTTAGGGATGGAAATGTTGGATGATTGAATTACTGTCTGTGGCGTGTTTATCAGTAGCATCCAAGTTTACCGAGACGTCCGCTCCTTTATTGCAAGAGATTCAGGTGATCTATTATACTTATTGCTTGCTGTTATTAACTCTATTGTTATGGTATTAGTGTCTTAACTGATTGATAACTGTGCGGTTGTGGTGGTCATTATAGTTGGAGGACCTTGAACATTGGTTTGAATCAAGCACAATAAGGCGAATGGAATTGACCCTGTTACAGACTTTGGGATGGCACCTTGGCTGTGTAACACCTTACTCTTATGTAGAACTGCTATTATCCAATGTTGACTCTCTCGAATCTCACCTTCACAATCAGTTAACCACCCGATTCACTCAGCTTCTTCTCGGAGCTATGTTAGGTACACATTCCTATCAATTTCTCTTGCGTTAATCTGATATATCAGGCAGATGATTCTCAAATACATGATCAAAGCTGGATTTTCCCAACAGAGCTCCGCTACCAATGCTCTTGGCAGATGAATTTTGATTGATCAATTTCAATCGTCACATTGTTTCATTTGCACGACATTGTACAATTGCTGTAATTATTATGCTCATTTATGGAAGCTTGAACTTGAATTATAATGAAGCAACATATGTAGGAGAAGTTGCTCCAGATGAATTTGATGCTCATCCTGATTAAACCAAAACTAATGGATGCAGATTTCAAGCTGCTGGAGTTTCGGCCAAGTCTTATTGCCGTATCTGCTCTACGGTGCTGTCTAGATGAGCTAATTCCATCGTCTTGTTCACACCTCGCCTCTACCACAAGTCTCCTCAACCAATTTCAAAAGGTACAAATATTTAAACGCTATTTTTCAGCTTATGTAAATTAGAAAATGGAAATAATATATGGGTTTTCACTTTTCAATTTACTAGGATGATCATCTTAAGTGTCATATGATAATGAAATCACGCATGGTAGACCCATTATCCAACATATTAGTCAGTGGGCAACTTCACAATTGGCCTTCAAGTCCTGTCACGGTTTTGGTGAAGGAGCGAATTGACATCTATGATTCCCAAGTTGATCTCTCTATGTTCAAGCTGCCAGGTTCCAACATCAAGACTGAATCATGCAGAAAGAGGAAGAGGCAATTATTAGAACATTAGGAAGGGTGTTCAAAGAGCATCATTTCCTTCTATCTATTGACCAAGGCAAAGAAAATTTGCTTCATAATCTAATTTATATACATCGGGGAAACACAATAACCCATCAAGTATTTGGTAACCCTTTTTCTTTTTTAAAGTGAACCAAAAAAGTCTACTTGTTGGAGTGGAACTAGCTTAAAATACTGTTTATCTTTGGTGCTGCTGATG